TGAAACTTCCTCTAGCGGTAGTTTCTTGAATAATATTTGTTTTTCTTCCTCTTCTTTTTTTCAAACGCTCATAAGACGCCTCTGAAATTAGTAGGTTACTTTATGCAACACGGCAGAAAAAGGGCCAGATAATTGAACAAACGTTTTGGCAGAATTTTCACACTTCTAGCTATGCCCTTTTAATGCTATTGGAGCCAGCAGGGAAACCAATTTGCGGAGACTTTTGACTTACAAGGGAAACTTATTGAAATTCTTTTCTTCCTCCCCTTCCCACTCACTAAAAATCAAACAGCGAGAAACTTTTTCAAGGAGGAAAAAAGTTGGACATAAGTGATTAATGAAAGCTTTTTTTCGTCTGAGATTTCGAACAATCGTTACTGTTTAAAGTTCAGAAATTTTCGACAATTAAATAGATCTGTATTTGCTATCGAAATTTCTTTTTTTCAAACTTAAAATTCTTACATATTATTTTTAAGGACATCCATAATGCTCACTGCATTGGTGTCACCCCCGATGGAACCATTTATGTTGGCCAAACAGGTCCAAACCAAGTGATGGAAGTGAAACTGAACAAGGAAAATATTTAATTTTGAGGCTTGTAAGTCGAAATTGCCCGGTTTTACATTCTGAAAAGCTATAAATATATGATTCTTCTTCCTGTTGCATATAATGAATTCAAACTGTTCTTTACATCTGTATGTAGAAAGAAAAATTAGAGAAACAAGATTTATTATAAGTTCCATAAATGATATGCTCTGTAATTAGAACTGTACAACTGTATGTTCTTATACCAACAACTTTCTAAAAATACTATATCAATTCTGACTGCAGAAAAAAAGGCTATGATTGTTTTGTGGCACAACGGATAAGCAGAAAAAAAAATTTCCCAAGAGAAATTTGTAGAGGAAGTGAAACCAAAAAAGTTACAGTATCGGAGCGGAGAATGAGGAAACACATTTATTTCAATTTTACGTGCACTTCAAAAGCAAAAAAATGTCTGTTTTACATACAATTTATTTTTACCTGGATTAAAAAAAAAAAAAGAAACATTTAAAGAATCCGATGCGAAAGGGCAAATATTTGACTACAGTGAAATCAATGTGAACTCTCTGGGAATTTACGTTTAAACATTTGCACATGGCGTAGATACTGCATCTGGGCGATATGCCTTAATTTTGAGCAAATGTAGTAACTGAAAAAAAAAAGTTCTGGAACTGTTGCTCAAGTCCAGTAGCCACTTTATACAAAGAGATTCTGTATGGTCAAAAGATGCCTATTTCTCCTTTTTTTTTT